GGAAGGAAGGAAGGAAGGAAGGAAGGAAGGAAGGAAGGAAGGAAGGAAGGAAGGAGCTTGCCGTTTCCAAGCTATAGGCTCCATCATTATCTTGCTGCCTGAAGAGAGTAATCAGCAAATGCCATAAGCCTCAAAGACTAAATGCATAAAAACCAGAGACATCTCACTTAGGGTATTTATTGTACTAAAAATTAAAGGCCATCTCTTGGCCCTTTTGTCTGCGAGTGTAAGGCTTGCTGACATCGCTGTGAGTTGCCTGTATGGATTAAGGGCATGATACATCCCTAAAAATTCTTTACCTTGCACGTCTCCCGGGGTAATTATCACTTGATAATCAACACTTGTACAACCAAACCAGTGATCTAGCTGAAGCATGAAATGCTGCCTAATCTTAATTACCTTGTTCACCTTTAAGCACTTTTTGGTCATCAACTGCTGATATTCCTCTAAGGACCAGCAATTATAATTAAGTGAAAAGAGCCAATAAAACATTCCAGCAAAGGAGAAATTCAGAAATGTAAATATTTGCTGTTACCCTAGAGCTGAGATCGTGTGCTCTCCCTCTTAGGAAGAGCTTGCAGTGGCAAAAAAGTTCCTGTACTATGAAATGGGCTACAAGGCACGGTCGGAGCAACTGACAGATCGGAGTGAAATCACTTTAACCCCAGCAGATATTGAGAGGTAACTAACTATACAAGGCAAACAACTCCCTCTGAGTTTCCAGGGATCTGGACATAACATAGGAGGGACTTGAAAAGGGTACCTTCAGCCCTGCAAGCTGAGCTGTAGTAGCAAGAGTGCTTTCTTTATGTATTTGCCCATATCCTGATCCCCTTTTTTTCCCTTTGGTACATTTGAACAATCGTTACCCTCCCTCTGCAAGATTCATGCATAATTGTGTTTTTATTCTGGCCCAGGTAGAGGTGGAGGCCATTAAACCACTCCAGCTGGTTAACATGCATGCGCACATTGCTTCCTTATCCCCTTAACCATCATCTGAATCTGGGATGGGGAACTTTTCTTCCTAGATGATTCTCTAGCAGCAGAGCTGCAGGGGTTGTGCTCAGCGTTGCAATAATATGGGTGAGCCTGAATCTTTGTGGTGCATGGTCTTTGGCCTTTAGGGATGGAAGCAGATTAAAGTTCAATATAGTGATTCTAAACCTCATGAAGGGTTGGCATTCTGTTTCAGATGTTCAAAAAGGCAAAAAATCAGGGGTACCTTGAGGGTTATTAGTTGTTCGTTCCTAAATTAAAAGATGGAGATGCTGCCGACCATGGTTAAGGGGCCATGTGGGCTCTCCCATTGACTAACAGAAGAGAATACCTGTAGCTCAGAACTGAACTGAGTCCTTGGTACTCTCTGAGCTTAGTTGTTTTCTTGAAGACGTTTCATTACCGGACTAGGTAACATCTTCAGTGCTTCCATTAACTCCCCAGAATGGCTACAGGCAAAAGACTTTTCCAGTTCTTGACTTCAGATTTGTTTAATTTATAGATGCCAAGGTTTGGAGTGGGAACTATCCTTTGGTGTAGAAGTACATTTTCTATAGGGAGGGTGTGTCTCTGGTTCCTGGCATGGGAATAATGGCATTGTAACAAGGAAAATTGGGGGAGTCAGCCAGTTGAGAATCCTTTACAGCTCTAAGCGAGGTTACTCTTTGCTGTTTTAAAGCTGCTCGTGCAAGTATGTCACGGCATAGCTTTTTCATGCATTGTCTATCTTGCAGGTATAAAAAAAGATTCCACATGTTTGATAAAGAAGGCAAAGGTTTTATTACAATATTGGACGTGCAGCGTGTGCTAGAGGTAACATTTTACTTCTTACTTTTTTTTTTAAGTCATCGGAATTGCCCGGCATGATATTAATAGTGTGTTGTTAATCCAGCCATGTGAGTTTTTTTTCCCTTTTCATATATTTTATAGAGCATCAACCTTCAAATTAATGAAAGTGCACTCCATGAGATTTTGAATGAAGTGGATTTGAACAAAAATGGGCAGGTTGAACTCAACGAGTTTTTGCAGGTGAGTACTTCCTTTAATTTATACACATATATCTATATCAATCTAATATAATGGTATAAAAACCCCTTGCAATACTCATAATGTTCAGTTCATTAATATTGGAGGGGAAAGTATGTAGGCATTAATTTCTGGCAGATGTTATTCAAAAATGGAAATCACACTTTAGTTGATACAAAATGGAAAGTATTTCTTTGATTCAGTTAAAGGAAATCAATCAATCAAATATATTATGTTCTATCATTAGAACATAACACACCCTGAATGTATGCATATTAAATAATGTACAGTTTTTATGTTGCATTCTCTATTAGTTCCATTAACTTGCACGTATATCAGATATGAAGCTACAAGGACAGGTGGGAGAGGAGTTCAAATGTTTAATCTGAGCTGATAGTTTTTATGAGGTGAGGCCTTGGAAATGTCTGCATTGTATTATTATAGAAGTATGAAATAGGGGGAAATGCCCCAAACACCAAAATAAAAGCTATAAAATTATTTCAGGTTACCATCTGGAAGTTGTAGAGGTAAAGCGGGAAAGCTTGAAATCAAGGTTCCTAGCTTTTATTTATTTATTCGTCACGTTTCTATTGCATTTATCCGTGCATGTATTTGCATTTACACTTGCATGTATTGCATTTATACATGCAAATTAACATAATATTTATATGACAAATAAATAAAAGCTAAGAACCTTGATTTCAAGCCTTCCTGCTTTACCTCTAAGACTTCCAGAAATGCCCCAAACACCAAAATAAAAGCTATAAAATATTTCCAGTCGCCATCTTAGAGGTGAAGCAGGAAGTCTTAGAGGTGAAGCAGGAAGGCTTGAAATCAAGCTTCTTATCTTATCAGTTTTTATTAAAAGTTGACTTTTGCCTTGAGCTTGGAATCTTTGGAAGATTCCGTATAGCAGTAATTGCCCAATCAGAGGAAAGTATAGAATCAGTCATTGTTCCTGCTGGTGGTGATCCCATCTGTGGGTGTCACTCGTAGTGTTGCTGTTCAGGATAAGAACCTTCAGTGGTTGCACCCAGTTTGGGGAACCCTCATATTGTACGGTTATAGCTAGTGCTGGTACAGGGTTGGGCAAAATGTGGCATTCTTGGTTTCACAGTCTGAATCTATTACGTCAGTACTTTAAATTTTATGCCAATCACTCAAGCAATTTCTGCCTTAAAAAAAAAAAAGTAACAACCAAGTTTCACCTTCCTTTTCTGACTCTGCCCAACCAATTTTTTTTTTTTTGGTCAGTGTTGCTTTTCACTACTATTTTTAAATTTATCACCTGTTAAAATGGCTTATAAAACAATAAGACCACACAAAAATGTAACAGTTAAAAAAAAAAACTGTAAAAACAAGAAGAGAGGCAGAACAGCATAAATTCACCTCTAGGGCCTAGGAATAGAAATGAGTCTCCAGCTGGTGTCAGAAACTTGGAAAAGGCAGTATTTGCTATAACCATACAATTGGCGAGTTCTCCAAACAGGGTGTAATTAAATAATTACAGCCTGTCTTGAAGTTCCTGAAGTTCCTATCCTGAATAGCAGCACTAGGAGTGATAACCCACAAGTGGGACCATCAGCAGCAGGAGCAATAATTTATTCTTTCCTCCGAGAAACTTTTAATTTATCATTTTAATGGAGAGCTTTTTAAAAAGTTTTTTTAAATAGCTGCCTACTGTAAGTAGGCGATTGCTCCTTTGTCCAGCAAAGGAACGAGAGCGGCATCGCCTGCACAGTCCCTCAGCAAGGCCATTGCCACATGTTTAATTTCTTCTTAGTGACCAGATGCTGGATAAATTTAACTCTGAATGCAAATACTTGACACTTTTTTAGAGACAGTCTGTAAACCAATAAAATGCAAGTGGAAGGGAAAATTTCCATGCTAGAGCCAACAACATCCTCTGTTGGAGAAACAGACTGTCCCTTTCTAAACGCAGGCATGCATCTCTCAACCTGTTTGTCAGAAATGAAATAACCTATGTATTTTTTCCTCAACTGTTCCTGCTTTTTAATATACGTTGTAAAACATTCAGAAAAGGGAGAGGTGCAAAATAATCCATTCTATTTATTATGGTAAAAAACTGCGGTAAAAAATAACAGTTTTGCACCAGTGAGGGGCAGGGAGTTCTTCTATAAATTGCAGTGAACAGGGCAGCTGCTTGGCTCTTGCTTTGTCATTCACTGCATTCTCCCTAAGCACAGCTGTTTAAATTGCTCTACCTCCCCCCGCTTAACCTCCTATATAATCTGTTAAATCGGGGTGTGAAGCAGCTTGGGATGGGTGTTGGGAATTGGTTGGGCTCCAGTATCTCTCAAGTAATGTTCATTTCATTTCATGTTCCTTCTTTAGTATTTTAATCCTTTTTCCAACCCAGCGTGGGCCTTGATCTTGTATTTGCTCAGTTTGTTCCGAGAGTTGGATGTGTGAACCTTGGGAGTTACATCTACTGCCTTTGTAGCATTCGTGTCTGTCTCTTTCTTGTGCATCTATTTGCTAATACCTCCTTTTCATAAAGAAGAGGAAGGAAGAGCAGCATTTTTTTCACTATCTAGGGGATACATTTTCCTCATCCATACGTAGAAGAATAAAACAAATTAATGTAAAACTGTAGCATTTTCCTGTTTTGTCTTGGGCTATTTCTTGCAAAAAAAAAGCTGATAGCATTCTTTACCATGGAAAAAAATGAAATACAGTATTTATGTTGCACATAAGTGTGACTGTTGAGGCTTAAACTTTAAAAAAAAAAAATCAAGAATTGAGATTTTGGTTCTCATTGAAAGAGCAACTTTGCAAACTGAAAGTGCTCCTTGATCCTCACCCATCATTGGATTTGCTGCTAGCAAATTGCCTTTGACACCTTTGCACAGTGTTGTCCATGGTCCCTTCCTGGTGATTTGGTGACAGTTATCTATACCTTGATTACATCTCATCTTGACTACTAAAATGTCCTTTGCATAGGATTGCACCTGAAAAGTATAGGGATTGGTGCAAAATGCAGCAGCTAAGCTAATAAATGATATATAAAATACAACCATCATATGGTGCCTGTACAAAAGATCTGCACTGGTTTCCAGTTGCTTATTGGTCACAGTGTGAGATGTTTGGATTGACCTCTAAAGCCCTGAGTGGCTTGGAGACTGACTGTGTGAGTGACCACTTCTCTCATTATAAATCTGTCCATTTGTTAAGATCTGTGCTGGTTGAAGGTTTCTTAAGCCGGTTTGGAGGCAAAGATACACCTAATAGTAATCCCAGTGATTTGCCCAGTTCTAGATGTTGTGGCAGTCTGTGATTACTGAAAACCAGGAATGGGAGGAGAAAATCAGCAAGTGAACAGACAGGAAGTCAGTGTGCAGGAAGGGGAGGAAAGAGGTATCAGCATGACGTTGCAGTACACTTTTGCAGCTATACCATCATGCTTTTGTGATGACATTGGAACTGGGCTATTCTGTATCACTTGTCCTATAAACTGTTCTGTTACTCTATGAATCCAAGGGGATAATTTAGTGTGAAGTAGAACAAAAGAGCACGTGCCTGTTTTTTCCCCAAAACTCCCATGCGGCAAGATACACATTTGAGGGCTGTAGAGAGACTTGTGAAATGTTTCCGAGTGTCCCTTTGACTCCTTTTATGCAAGCAGCTGCTTATTTGTTTTCAGTTGTGCGCCAGGTTTATTTTTGCAGAGCCTTTCTTGGTCAGGTTTTTCAATTGACTGCCAGGTCCTTCCTGCGCTGTGGCAATGATGAATGCAGAACATGAGATAAATTAATGCTGGGGATTTCGGTCCATGTCAGCCCTTTCTTCACTGCATGTCACGTTAAACAAACAAGATCAAGGCAAAGGAAAATGGTAATTGTCTCTCTCAAGATGGGCTGGAGATAAAAGCACTGTTGAATCTAAATGTGGAAATTTTCACTGGTTGGGTCCAGCAAGAAAGAAAGAAAGAAAGGAAGGAAGGAAGGAAGGAAGGAAGGAAGGAAGGAAGGAAGGAAGGAAGGTTCAGATATAGCAGCCTGTTCTCTGAGCATTTTTTTAGAGCAGCAATCTGCTGTATGATTTAAATCATGCCAATTTTAAAAAATTCCCTCACCTAATAGTAAGCTCATCTCCTTATTCATTTGCAAGGCTCCAAAAGTATAGAATTTACTTTTAAATATTTTTAAGAGCCATAGTCCTATTTCATGGCATATTTCAACCTTCTCCAGGCTTGCCCTCCAATCTGTTAGCTTTCTTCTCCTAGAATTCCTTAGGGAGTACGATGCTGGAAAGATTGCCACATTTGTTTAAGAGGGAGCTTATTTCAGTTCGGCTGTCATCTAAGGGAGCCCTCCAGATATGTGGCCATCAACTTCTAGGATTTTCAGCAATGGCCATGTTGGCTGGGAATTCTGGGAGTTGGCCCATCTATCTGGAAGGGGCCCAGATAGGGAAGGGTTGATGTAAGAAGTGAAAACTGTTTATCCTGCTGTCTTATTTCTACAGTCTTTCCTTTAAAAGATGTCCAAAGCTGTATTTATGTTGCTGCTTCTGCTGTTCAGTAGGGGGAAAAAAATCTCAGAATGGTTTACAAATCAGTCCCTAGCCTTAGGTTTACAAAACAGAAGTTAACAACCCAAAAAGAATATGGGATTAGATGGGGAAAATGGAAACATAAACAAACACAGAGACTGATTGTAAATTATAGGGTACTTTTTTTTTTTGTTGGGACGGTACAAAAAAGCAAGACTTCTCTTTTGGCTCCATTTCCAGCAAATGTGTAGGTGGACCAGGGTTCTTATTTATGTATTATCTTGGTCTTCCCTTTGCAACTATTTATTTCCAAAAGTGAGCTTCCAAGTAATTGGGGTAAGTATAATGCTGAAAAATTAAGAAAAATGGGCCACCCAAGGTCAAATTGGCAGAGGTATGACAAATCATAAGGAAAGGTTTCTAAGCAGGGATGTGGAGATATTGACCTTAAAGTTTTCTCAATCTTGCCTCTTTAGCTCATGACTGCTATTCAGAAAGGATATGTGTCTGGAAGCCGGCTTGCTGTACTTATGAAAGCAGCTGAAGAGAACATTCATCAGCGGGAAGTAATTTCAGTGGACCGGAGTTGTGGTGGACTGTGAGTTTGGGGGGTGCAAAAAGGTGTGCCCTGTGGTTGCCTCTCTTAATGCTGAAAAACATTCCACTGCTTTCAGATGTCTCTGCTTCCCCTACTCACTCTGAGCAACTGTGCAGAAGGTCACATTGTGCAGTTTTTCTTTTTACATTTCCGTGAAGAGTCTACTTGACTAGTGGCCCATTGAACTGGCTTTTTCTAGAATCCATGGCAGACAAGACCCTGAAAAGGAGAAATGGTCCAGCTTTTTTTCCCCTGGACTAATCTGGGGAGATGTACACTGAGCCATGGCAGGGGATCCATCTGGCAACCAGACATGAATGTGGGTTTCTTTTTGCCATTTACACAAAAGCAAGAACAATTCCTCTTCTACATTAATAGGATTTTCCCTCTATTCTCTTTCTGCCTTTTGATGCATTAAACAGGCAAAAGTGGACGATGCCAGCATGCCTTTAGTGTCTTAAAAATTGACTTTTTTGTTAAATCTCCGGATTCTTTTCTTTCCTCCCCACCCCTTCAGAGAAGTACATTGTGCTAAATATTCATCACTTGCCTAGAACTTTGGTACAAACATTTTTTATAATGGCCACAGTCTATTAAAAAGCGCATGCCATAAAAATGAGTGATTTATCATGGAGGAGAGTGCTTGCATTTAGAATTTTCGTAGACTGTATCCCAAAATAGAAGTGAATGTCCAGCCAAGGAATTGCAGTGATAACAATTGTATTTTAATAAGAGGATATGCGGGGCCCAATTTTTCTAAAATGTCCTAAATCCAAATAGCCAGCATAAAATAGAAATGCACATATCAAATGGTGCTTGCTACTTTACCATAGAAAGAAATTTCCATTCCTTCCCTGGTATAACCTTGTATACCAAAAAAAAAAAAAAAGCTGTACCTTGTATCATGTAGGTAGTTTTGCGTTGTTCTGAAATTTCCTTAGGAATTTTAAGAAAAGGTTTCTGAAATCTGTGATAGGTGCCCCATAGCTCCTCAGAAAAGTATAGTGAAGAAATATTGGGCAGGATTTCATTACCTTCTTGCTAGGGTTGCCTGGTTCACTTTTAGGCTATTTTCTAAAAAATACTATTGCATGTTTTTCTTTTAATTACTTAAACTGATTTTAGGTTGTTTTTTAGGGTAAAGACCTTCCATGACTTACAGAATAAAACAGTAAACTAACAAATAGCAAAATCAGTAAAATGTTTACTTTCTGCTGTTTGGAAAATAAAGTTACAATACAAACCAAAGAGGAACGAAGTCATGTGACTGTGGAAATTTGGTCTTTGTACCTCTGTTGGCCATGTTCATTTGTTGTTGTCTGTTACAGGTTTTAAATAATACTTAATATTCCTATATAATTCATATATCAATAAGATTTGTAGTACTTAAACCTGCAGAGCCAAATTCTTTCACTTACTCTTTTCAACATTTCAGTGCTGTGCCATTTGTCACTCTTCAGAAACACCTATAGGAACTGGTTCTTCATAGTGTCTCAATATCAAAATGAACTTAAAATTCTGAATTACTTTGTATTCAAAAGTGGAATATATTAAGGGCATCTATTGCTAGAAGTAGACATTGCTGTATAAAAACAGCCCAGCAGTTAGCATGATGCACTCACATTTTGTATTTAGAACTTTAGGCAGTGTTGAATATAAGGAGCAAGGTCTTCATAAAGGATATTAAAAGGTAGCATTTCTAAAAAGCCTCTAGCAAAATTCTCTGCAGATCATTTCCCATGTAAGCTTCTGCTATGATCAAGAAATGTCAGCCCTATGTTTTGTAGGTTAGCAGTGAAGATGGAAGCCAAGGTAGGAAAAACAGATTCCCATCCTCTTTAGGTCTGGAGCACTTCAGATTTACTTGGAATACTGGTCTAAAGCTGAGCATCCACTTGACAGTGGGAGGTCTCTCTTTGAGCATAAACAGTTGGCTTTTTTGTGGTGGGTCTTTCTCCCCGCTCTCCACCCACCTATTGCCAACACATATTGGATAATTTTTACATAGCACTCATGAGAGACTCAGAGATAGCTTTTCTAAGATGGCAGAAGTGTGGAGAGATCCAAAAAAGATGTCAGGAAGCCAGTCTTTACACATTTACCTAATAATTGGTACAACATTTTTAGATTACTTTCCTCCCCTTGAGGCAAAAGGTAATGGCAGCGATCAAGAGATACAAGTGTACCTCATCCATCTGAAATACATTAAGGGTTAAGCAAGCACCCAAAGGGTAGTCAGGCTGAGGATCATGGGGCTGATATATGCTGAGGAACAACCCCTTCCCAAGCATGGTATCTAGCACTATCCTTAGGGAAAAGTTTTAATGAGCGTTTGGGTGTTCACCTTTACAAATAGATTCCCTCTGTTTGATAGCCAGGAGTTGGAGTAATGTCTGTTTAATGGCTATCCTCAACCTAGCAAAGGTCCCTTCACAGCGTCTGTCATATTTTGCTATTGATGCCATCACACCATCAGCATGAAGCCATGATTTCTTTTATGCTTTGCCTGCATTTGATTTGAACTCTTGGAATGTTTTAGCCAACACACCCCTCTGCTTCATATGGGAAGGGAAAGTATTCCCCTGTATCATCTTACAGTTGCTCATTTTAGTTAAAAGTAGACTCTCAGAACTACTTGATTTCTTTGTGATATGATTTCTTTGTATATTTGGAAGGAAGTATATATGAATGTGCAGGAAGGATAAAGCACCTTTTTGTATAACAGTAATTTGGTGTAATACTACTGTACAACTGTTTTGAAAACAAAGAAATATAGGAACAGGGAGTTCTCTAGTGGTTGTGTGTGTGTGTGTGTGAGAATGGGTAAGCACACATATATCTATGCATATATGCATATGTATACATATACATATACCGCATGTTTTTCCATCTGGCACTTTTATGTATTGTGCTGGGTTATTGTTCAGGATAGGACTGTTAAATACTGTGTTTGAGGCTGGGTTGTCATTTTTATAACTGTCTTGGTGTTTTATTGCCATTATTTATTACTTTTGATATACAGAATGAGCTGCATGCATTTATAGAGCAATAAGAGGATGTATTTAATGTGCCTTGTTTTTAACTGAATAAGATCTGAAAGCATGAATCAATAAAACTGATTAAAATGGTCCACTCGTTGGCATTTTGATGTTAGTGGCAGTTACGGAAATAAAGTTGATTAGCTCGGAAACCCCACCCCCACCTACCTTCTTTTTTTCTTGGTATTTCTTTTTTTTCCTTCCTTGTGATAAAAAAGTTTAAAACAATTTCTTAAACCTCAGTTTTTAAGAAATGATATAAATTCTTGACCTTAACTTTATATCTAGGAGGACAAATTAAGGAGTTAAAGAGAAG